AAGATTGGAAAATACCGAGGTCGCTATGCCTTGGCGTGGCCATCTGTAACAAGAGTAATTACAACTGGCGAACCGCGAGAGGTGCAGATAAAATACAATTATGTAAACGCTTTCCTACTCAACGTTTATGAAGCGTTCAGCTCCCACAATTACATCGTATTTGTAACATTAAAAAATGATAAGTTCTCAGAGAATGTTTCATTGAAAAGATGAAATTCGACAAACGTTGAAAGGTTATAGTACATATTGAATAAAATTAATGGACAGTTTAAGCTGTTCCATCATTTCAAATATTTGATAAAGAAATTTAGAACAATTTAAGTGAACAATGACTACTCAGTATTGATTTATCTGTATAAAACACCCAACCAAAATCCGTATAAAAAACGCTGCTAGTGTGTTAATACTTCTGAACTTTGGAAGAGTGTAAAAAAGAGAGCCTTTAACCTTTATCTTTTCAAACAAAAACAAAAAATCAAAACTGGTGCGGATTAAATAAACACAAAACAACAATTTAACGATATATCTACTTGAGCCTATCTTACCAGCTAACAATTTCCGAATACCTCCTACAAACCTGCATAGTAACTCGAGTGCCAACAAATTAATGAATCGCATTGTTTCTCGATGACGTATGCTATCAAAATCAGCGATATATTCTTGTATATGCATTTGCATAGAACGAGCTCTATGCGTATAGGCTCATAACATCAAATATTCAATGTCAAACCAAAGTTTTCAAAGTTTGTTTAGTTTATTTCAGTGGTTCAACAAAGCATTGTAACGATTTAAAATGTGTGCCTTATTAAATATTTAATGAAAAAAATGCTATAAAATGAAATTATACACTATTTTATAATTTTCATTGAAAAAGACTTGACGAAGACGATGCATCAACGAACTTATTCCTGTGTGGTGGGTGCTTCATCGTGAGAAGACGTGCAATCCCCAAATAAATTTGCTTTGCTCAGCAAGCAAGCCGGTCTATATTTTATATCGACTTATAATAAAATTATTTTGCTTAAACGTAAAACAAGAATACGGGCCTAGCATGCGTTTACAATTTTATCTGCATAAGCAACACAAAATAAACTTACCTCAGTTTTATTTCTGCAGGACAAATAATGTAGTTACAGATATGAAGAGAAGCAGTATAAAAATGAAGGAGGCATTAATTAAAAGATGATATTTAATAAAATTAAATTTTTCAAGGCAGTTGTTCAACTTGCACAATCCTCAAAAAAGGTTTACCCTATGCGTTAACAAACGTTTGTTATTTATGCATTGTGTGCCGTGCATTATTACATTTCAAAAATAAAAATTATGAACGGTTTCTTGTTTGATCTTTTAACTTAAGGCATGTGAATTTGTGAAGGCAGCATTTTTAGCGCGTTTGTACGTACGTCCACATGCGTCGGTAAGAAAGAGGACTCTGATCAGACTGACATTTTTACGCTTCATTTTTAAGCTCAAAAACTCGCCGAGACGACGTCGAAGTAAACAAGAAAACAATCCGAAGCAGCAATCGATAAAAAGTCAAAAAGTGACATTTCTGAAAAAATTAATAAGCATTTCTCATTACAAATAATGTTTGGTTTTCAAACTATCTCGAAGTATATTCATTATAAAGAATTCGAATTACATTTAGTGTTATTAATAAATATTACTCGAAATTTTTTAAGCCTAAGTCCAACTCAAGCAGCAAATATTTAACATTTTAAAGGTTACTATATGCTAAACAAATTTTTAGGATAGCATCTTTTTAAATTTTAAAAAGCAGCTGAGATGAAAATGTGTCACTCGCCCAGCCGGCCTGTCAGCAACGAACATTCAAGGCTCCCAACATCACCATCATCATCGTCATCATCTTCACCCACTCACTGCGTTCGAACAACATGCAAAGTTATAAAAACCTCCTCTTGCGAACGTGGGCTTGTTATTTTTCAACATCATTTTTATTTTTCGCAAGAATAAAAACAGGCCAGACGACCTTGTCATATAAATTGGTTTCCAACATGTGCGTAAACAAGGCTGAATTATAATTGGTCCAGTTAAGCAACCAATAGAATTACAGTAAACATTATATGATCTATGTTCAGATAGTAAAATCATGCGCAATATCAAACTGCAAAATACTTCTGCAGAAGATTCTCGCAACGAACGTATTAGGATTGCTAGCTATGTGAACATCTAATAAGAAAGAGTGAATGAGGTAAAGCTAGCTTAATGCAGCACATGCATAATTAGGCGTACAACCTCATTAGTTGGCCGATGTGATATCATGTTCGCTTTTAAATTATTTCAATGGTCGAAACTAACTTTTAAAATTTAGATTTATTTCCTAAACAATTTTTTAAAAATCAAATTACCTGTAAAATTTCTGAATTTTCATGTGAGAGCACATGCTTCTGTAAACGCGCGTCTCAATATTTGCATTATCTGAGTGCACAAAAATGCAACTGTGTGAGTATATTACAAGTACAGTACACGAATAAAATAGCAAATAATTTGCTTATATGAAACAGAAAATGATTGTTACACTTAATTAAACTGCTTTAATAATTCTTTGACCTTTCGCACCGTTGAATCCGACGCGGTTAGTACTAACACGAACCTATCGAGCGGTTTTAACTTGCACCGATGACCTTCAACTGAAATTTGTGTACAGGCAAATGCGGGTGTTCTCGATATTTTTCTCTTCACGTTATCTTCAAAACTGGGTTAACGTTTTTTTACGTTGGAGCATAACCACATCGTGCAATGTGTACGTTGCTTTTCGATCTAGCAGCTTCTACTTGATAATTAAGCAAATTAACTACAGATTAATTTGTCTGATAATAATTGCAATTGATTCAAGCGCCCACTTTCGGAACACTATAGCAGTCGGTCCGGCATTTTGCTATCAGTTATGCCTAACGTGTTGCACGTAATATCAACAAAGCGAAACTTCATCACCTAAACATTTTGTAACCTTCAAAACAGTAAACCGACAGATGTGGCGATGATGGACTACTACTGCGCTGACGGATACAAGACAGAAACTGCTCGTAAATTCGTCTTTGATTAGTTACTTCGGTAGCTATAAAACTCCGACTTTGCATTTATTTTTTGTTGTTAGAACACCTTAACGAGTTTTAAGCCACTCAGAGCCGTTTTTCTTTAAAAATTAATGAAAAAGGTGAAAACTGGATGAGTGCTCCATTCATTGAAAATCGCTGCAACAGCAGATGCAAATGCAAGCTGATGACCCCACCTTCCTTTCGCTTGTACATGCAGACCTGCTGTCAATGAGTTGTGTCCATTAAAATCTATATATAGCACACGGCTTAAAAATTATAAAAAGAAACGGGGCTGACATTCTAGCTTATTTTCGCTTAAGGTTGGTAAGAAGTTTTTGTTGCACATTTTTAAATTACGTCCTTCAAAAATTTGCCATTGGCGCTGCATCAAAGCTAAACCTTAACTTGAAAAACGTTTTACGGGGTCAGTTGTGGGAAGAAAATTTAAACTGCCTGACAAAAAAATTTATTTAAAAAATTAAAGCGGTGAGTTTTGAAGAAAATTAACAATAAGATAAAAATGATTCTAGCACAAATATTGTTTCGTCAAGCTGGATTTCAGATTTTTCCAACCTGTGAATGAAAATGTTTCATTTTATATGATCAAGTGAATACCAGATAATGCATACGAATCGTCATTTAAAAGTCAGTACGAACGGACGTGGTCATAGAGGTCAACACCATAAGTTTATTGAGCGATCTCACTTAACTCTCATATTTTGTGAGGTTCTTAGGCAGCAGCATGCTTCATCGTAAACGGTAGTGATGGTACGATTATCGACAGTTTGATTCGATTTCATTTTTTGGCGAAGTAATTTTTTCAAGTTAAGATAAAGTATTTTTGAAGCAAAAAACCGATTAGTTAAACAGCATTTATTGTCCTTATCGTTAGATCGTTCGGAGTTTAGTATCGCCAAAAAATGAAATCTAATCAAGTTTGAAGCGGATGTAAGAGATAATTGGTTTACAATTTCTATTTTTAATTACTTTGATTTTGTCATTTGCTATCTAAATATATCTTCACACGAAGCAAGATCAGGAAATTATAAATAATTCTAAAGCTTGTTACTCCAAAAAATATAAAAAACGGCCCATTATAAAATATACATGATTTTTTTCACACGAAATAAAATCATTAAGTTGACTTTCATTTAAAAAAAAAAAATCAAAATTTTATACCTGAAAATCAGTGTCGGAGTCGGATAAAAAAATATCCGATTCCGACTTCGCTCCCTCAAAAAATCGACTCCGGGTAAAGTTTCCTCAAGAAAAAATTTAAACTTTTGCATCATAATTTCATCTTATTATCACTACTAAATAAAAAATACTATAAAACATTTCTCAATCAGTAAATGTAACTGTTCTTCATAATAAAACTACTTTATTTTTATGTTTTAAAACATACGAAAAAAAATTTCAACTCTTGCATCATAATTTTACTTTATTATCACTACTAAATGAAAAATACATTAAAAACACTTAAAATCAGTCAATGTAATTGTTTTTCTTAGTGAAATTAATTTATTTTTGTTTCACAACGTACTGAAAAAATTGTGATTTTATTCACATTATTAGCATTTATTTTCAGTTTTAAAGATGATTGCTTATTATATTTATCCTCTAAAAAACACAAGCTTAAAAAATTTTTTTAGTTTTTAAAAATTAATAACATTAATAACGACTCCGGTGACTGCGACTAGGGCACTTAAAAAATTCTGACTCCGGCCAAAATCTTACGACTTCCAGCACTGCTGAAAATAATCGAGATCAAATTGATATTTTGACATCGAAATAAACGATGTCAAAGGGCATTCTACTAAATACTACTAAATGGCATTCTATTCTCAGTGAATAAATGAACAAAATTTAGTGGCATTGATTTATACAGCAGCAGAAAATAACGATTAAGCCAGAAAATTTGAAATGCATTCCTGAAGGAACTTACACATCCTGCATTTGTTTGCAGTTTGTGACGATCGCTCTCTCGGCAGGCGTCATCTGCTCCTCCAGTTCCCTCCTCTGCTCGGCGTCATCGGCATCGATTTGTGTGAGGATGATCTCCAGGCGCTTCTGCTTGTCGATTGTTCGTCTGTGGAGTTTTTGTGACAATTTCATTTATCGCATTTCATTTTGAATAATTGTACGTGCTCTAACTGAAAATGGGAACAATTCATCATATCAGATGAAATGTTCCAAATCTTAACGCCAACAAGAACTATGTGACAGTTTAAATAAAAATTAAAAAAACAGATCTGAGTTCGTTACATGATGCAGAAAAAATGTAAAATTTGAGAGGCAAAAATGTCGTTATATTTAAAACACTTTCTGTAAAAACAATTTCTATAAAACAGAATTCATTTCTCACTTATATGTTCGTTCACTTCATATTTACATTTCAGAAAAACAAAAAAATATCAAAACATTTATAAAAACGTTCCATATTTATTTAATGTCTGATGATCATATTCATTTCGTTGAGACTGATTTGCATGTTTCCAATTTGCATGTAGACAGGCTTGTCAGAAAACAATGTAACTAATTTACATAATTTTTATATTTTGCGGCTTAAATTTAGGTAAATGTATGCATAAATATAAAATATAATACTATCGATGCTTGTTAAGTTTGTGTGCCTGTCAATTCATTCCACTCAGTTTATGATGTTGAAATTTTGGTTTTAAATAAATTATTCGTTGAAAAAAGTGTCGTTCATAATTAATTAGCCTACTTAGTTCTCGTCATTCATAAAACTTGAATATTATTTCAAGTAAAAAATCATAAGCTAAATTAAAATAATGAAACTCTGGCAAGTGAGAATTAAAATTAAAGTTACTTGTTGGCCAATGATGCGTGTATTCGTCTGTGGATCAGGTTGGCTCCCGCCTTGTTAATAAACAGAGGATAATAAATTGATCACCAGTATAGAACCATGATTAAAATAAAATAACATTCGGTAACTTTAAAATAAAAATTAAAATAAAAAAAGAGTTTCTGTCTAAAATTCTCTCGTTTAAATCAGTTGTAACGGTCAAGTCCAAAATAATTTACAAGAATAAAGCATTGAAGATCAATCTACATTCTAATGTACAATTATTAATATGTTATATCAAGCAGTTATTATACACATTGCATGCTGAGGCTCTACAAAAATTACAACTTTTCTGTTCTAAATCATCCAAATACAGTCGGACCTCGAATATATTTCCTGGAACCATCAAGTTCGTTGCACGGAGGTCCAACAGTAATGTTATCTCGTCACATATATTCGAAGATTCTTATTGCTCATGCATTACTAGCAAATAATTTTGAAAGTTTAACGTAACCAGCTCACTTTGTAGCACTTATCGAGCAGCATGCGAGCGATGGTGGCGAGGTTGACTGAGAAGAGGTAGATGGTCTTCTGTGGTGCGTGGTCGGCTGTTCTTGGAACTTCCTACAATTTGTGAAGCATACATTAACACCAACAATCACATAAATAAAAGTCCCATAAACATATATGTATTGATAAAATAACGATTAAAGAGGCAAGTAAAGCAATAAGATTCAGTCGAAGTTTTCATGTTATAAATATAAAACCTTCACTTAGGTCAACCAATTATTAAATGTATACAAAATTTCGTTTACATAAAAAAATAAAAACTATGTTAATTTTTATCAATAAACTCAACAGCAACTAATATGGGTAGATGAAGAAGATCTTATAAACTCCTTCTAATTACAGAAAAATCAACGACACACAAACAGCGTATATGAATACGTGCTGAACAACATATCAGACACGAATTATGCGATAGGCAGGAATCTTTTTGTCATATTCAAACCCAGTCACTCACGCACAAAAACAGGACCAGGCGCCTTCAACCACTAGGCCATCACGCCGCTCTATAAGTTTCCCGCTACCCTTAACGATGAACATGCAGTTTTATACATACAGTTATATGCCGGAAGCAAAATTTGCATACGATATCTTTGTCATTATATACATTGAATTCAGCGAGCAATGCAGCTCCAACTAAAAACGACTAAAAATGATCAGAATAAACAATAAACAGCATTCTTTCTCACAAACATTTCTACGTTAAACTAGTTTAATATTTTACATTTGCCAATATTTTAAATTTAATTACAATCTTCTCTCTGTTACGGTCAATTTCTTGGACTAGTTATAGATTAATAATTCATTGTTCTAATTAAAAATACCTTCTGCCTAACTAAAAACATACCTTTCGTTATATAAGCCAATAAACTATGTTGAAATTTTGAAAACGAGCATTATATAGAAAACATAACAAACATTTAGCAAAGCATGTATAGGCGACATAAAATATTTATAAGGTTCTTTAAAAATTTTAAATGTGCCAATAGCAACCAACTTTTTTTGTTTGGATTAGATGGACTAAGTGTGATAAGGATGATAGTTTCATTTAGTCACTGAAAATCCAGACAGGACAAGCACTATAAAAATGAATGATGTTGCAACACCATTCAATCCAGTGATGAAAGCTTCATTACACAGACCTTCTAACGATAAAATACATGGTTTTGAAACATTACAAAACCTAGAGACAGAAATTCTGAATTATGACGCTGCTTAAACATTAACAGCCATTTAAATTCCGGATCGTTAAGAAAGGAAATTGGAATGAGCAGCAACATTTCGAAACTTTAACTTTAAACAGCAGCATGTCAAATTATGAGGGATATCGGCGAAGCAACGTTGTCACGACTCAATGAATAACATTTCAGATGGCGTGTGCAGGTCGAACTTGGAAAAACGAGAGAGGGCTACATCGTCAGCCATTCGAAAGTTGGTGCATGGAACATGTGGAAACGAAAGTTGGTGGGTGCAACATGTTGACGCTTTGCATGGTCGTATTTAAATACGTTAAACAAATATTGTAAATCAAATACACATACCGGTTCGTAATAATTTTTTACGTTAGCGAAAAAATCTTTAAATAGAAGAAAATTAATGTTAATAATTTAGAGCAGTGCTTCTCAAAATGGTAATTAAAAAGCCCGACAGGTCAGAATAACTTGTGAATATCAATTGGCTCGCAAAATTGGCTTATTTGTCGGACATATTTGCATTATTAAATTATATCAATATTTTAATGCAAAAAAATGGCAACTGTTTAACGATGGCTGATAAAATTGAAGGATAAAAAAGAAATCTAAAAACTTGGAAAATAAGATCGGAAAAAGAATGTTTCTGAATATTTTTTAATTTAGCTACAGACGTTGATAAACTTTTACCATATTCGGTGTTCAAATTAATATGTTGTGGTTGTGCCCAGATGCTCAATTATTTTTATACTGAGCCTATTTATTTGTTCCTTGTTTGTTAAAAGTGAATATTTAGTTTTACACTCTTGAACGTCGTAAAATATAACACTTTAACGTGTTTTCTTTATCAATAAATACAACACTTTTATGTGTTTTCATTATCGATAAATATAATACTTTTACGGGTTTCATTATCGATGATTCCTCTGTTTCTAAATTTATTGATAGGAAGAATTCCAATTGCTCGTCGTTAAATATTTATTATCGGATGTCTTTGTTTTATGAGTAATGATTCGGCTAGTCGTAATTATAATGGTTGTTATAGTAATGTAAGATTTCAACATTGTGGTCCAAGATTTGTCTAGTAATTTTAGTTTTGTGTTTCGCTTTCTTTTGAGTATCTGGCACAACCACAACATATCAATTTGAACACCGAAGATGGTATAGGAATACCGAAAAAAGCTTTTCGGTTCTATCATGCATAAATAAAACAAAAATTTTGGTTTTGAACTAAAGAAACTTAAAAATGGTTTTCGATCAATCGTTAGAAAAATCGAGTTAAATTGGAAGTTAACTAACGCCGAACATGCTGTGATTTTCATCAATGATTGTATTTCTGACATTCTTAATCCAATATATATATATATATATATATATATATATATATATATATATATATATATATATATATATATATAGCGAAGTCCTGTACTTTTTGTCAAATAACTTTAATTTATTTTATAATAATAATTTTATTGCTAACACGTCTGATTTTTATACTAACGAAGATTTCATATCTGCTTTGAAAACTCTGAAAACTGAATTGAAAACTCAAAATTTGGATAAATTAGACAAGTTAGTTGGTCGTGGCTGTACAAAAAAAGAAAAACTCCCAGATTGTGTTACAATTTTGAAATACTTGAAAAATAACAGTATTTTAGATAAATGTTCGTTATTTGCAAGTGTTAATCTGGTTAAAGTTCCTAACCTTGACAATATAATTGAAGTTAATTTCAAAAATCTGAAAAACAAAATTAAAGAAATGTTGTACGCTCAACAGGTAAAAATTGTGAATGCAATAGACATGCACGGCATTGAAATTTCAACATTGAACAACAAGATAAAGTGTTTAGCGTCCAAACGAGATAACAATAATTTTGCCAGTCATTCGAGTAATATTACAACGGCAATATTTCCGGAAAAAAAACAACATCGTAACTATGCCTAATTCAGTTACACTCTGGTCAGATGTAGCTCAATTTCTATTTGAAGACAACCCTTTGTTATTCAGTGTTGTTACTCGTAACAAAAAAAGACCAAGACTTAACAATTCAACTGAAACCATTCAACCTAATACTGCAATTACTAGCAACAAATTGAAATCATTAAAATTACCCACTAAAATAGTTGGCGCTAAAAAAACGACAATAGTAAACTCAGTGCTGATAAAACATTGATTAAAAAATCTGTATTTGCTATGAGCAACATCAAAAAATGCAGCAAAAGTAATGTGATTGACTACCTATCGAAAGTGGGTATTCATGCAATTTTGTGCTATCCAGTGCTGAAACGCTCACTGGCTTATAATTCTCCTTACTACACTATCAAAGATTTTAATTATACTTCAACACAATCAAAATTCTTCCATTTAATTCTTCACTATCCATTTAACTTCTTTACTTCAATGAAAAGAAAGACTGAGCGCAAATTCTATGTCAATAAGTTTGCTATTTCTAAAAACGATCTCAAATACCAATGGAAGTTGATAAAGCAAGCCCTGAACACTAATTCATCTTTTCTTCCTATATCTAAACTCACCATCAACAACATCCCCATAGACGAAAAACAGGACATATGTGAACACTTGAACGAACAATTTACTATTATCTTAATAAATCGTGCATCTTCTTCTAAATTTTTAGGTATAATCATTTCTGAAAACCTTTCTTGGGAATCTCATCTACAATCTATCTCCTCTAAAATTAACAAACTCATAGATCTTATCTACAAAATCGAGCACAAATTAACCAAATCCGCCTTAAAAAAACTCTACTATGCTTTTATTTATCCTCATCTCACTTACTGCATAACCGTTTGGGGTAACTCACCAAAAATCCATCTTCATTGTATGATATTGTCACAAAAAAGAGCTATACGCTTAATCTTTAACTTGAACCCTTTCTTTCCCACTAGCTCTTTTTTTATTAAACATAATATTTTGTCGATTAGTTGTTTACACATTTATTTTACAGCTATTTTTGTTTTCAAGTTTTTAATTTTTAATTTCCTTCATTTTTTCTAACTTTTATACACTCAGTGAATCTGCTCAAACTCTCAAAACTAGACACACTACTATCTTTTACTCAGTAAAAACTCGCCTAAAACTCATCTCTACAAGTTTAAAAACAACTAGCCCTAAAATTTTGAAATTATTTGTGCCCCATGCCATTCGTAACATAACAAACAAGCAATTCTTTAAAAAAAGGTTGCGATCTCAGCTTTACTTACTTCACCCCGAGACCACCATCTAACGATTTATATACATTAATATATAGCTATTGTTTAAATATGAATGGGTGTGAGGATGTGTGTTGTGCGTGTGTTTTGTCTGCCCGCTATTATTATGATTATTTGACTACTTCATAAGTATTATCTGAATGTATTTCATTCTAGTTAACATTTTTATAAAATTTTGATACATTATTTGAATGCATTTGAATGCTGAAATGGATTTTCTTCATTTCTAACTTTTGAACTTTTATGTTTATTTATGACTTAGTTAAGGGTGGCCTCTCCACAAGTTTATTTTAAACTTATTTGGTCCTCTATAATATATATATATATATATATATATATATATATATATATATATATATATACTTATTTATTTATCTGCATCAATTTGCATCAATCCACAGCAAAAAATTCGAAATAGCACTGTTTTTGAAGCCATTAAGGTAGAGAAAGTCACATCGTTTCAATATCTAGGGGATGTTCTGGATTGTACTGGAACAGCTGAAGCTGCCGTTCGAGCACGCATACGTGCAGCCTGAAATAAATGGCATCTCCTTGCCTCTATATTGATGCGGCGTGACATCCCACTACGATCAAGACTTTATAAATCTGTGATACGTCCGGTGTTGTTATATGGTGCAGAAACATGGCCAATGACAACCAAACTGGAACAAAAACTTCAACGAACCGACATGAAAATGCTCCGATGGATGCAACGAATTAGTCTGAAAGATCACATCAAATCAACCGAAATCCTGCGTCGTGCTGGTTTAGATGATATAAAGAACGAATGCCGGCAACACGGCGGTGGTCTGCGGTGGTTTGGTCATGTCAAACGAAGTGGAAACAGTGCCATAACTTCTCTTGCAAATGTTGAAGTACCAGACATACGTCCTAAAGGCCGTCCAAAAAAGTCCTAGTCGCAAACAATCGAGCAAGACATGAAAGCTCTAAATTTAAATGAAATGGATACAACTGATCGTCTAATTTGGCGCAAAAAGTTGATGGCAAAGAAAACAACGTCCTACCTCGAGGAACCGGGTCTCTGGATTGATTGATTGATATATACACACATACATACATGCATATATATATATATATATATATATATATATATATATATATATATATATATATATTCTGCAAGCAGGGTAGCGGTCCGTCGTGAAGTTCCTGTTAAACTTGTTGCCGGTCTGCGGAACCAAAAATTTTGAGAAGCACTGATTTATGAAGTATTGGAAGGATATGAAGATTGGAATAAAAGTGTGTTCACAGTATAATAGAAAACGTGGACAGCGCAATAATAAAAAATGTGGATTGCAGAGAAAACTATCACCAACTGAACAAAATGAACAGTAGATTAATTAATAATCATAAAAAGAATGCATGTACAAACGAACAGTCAAGAAGAGGATGTTGTCCTCCAGCAATTTGTACAACAATTCTTTGGCTTCCTTTGGGTCCATCATAACTAAATCTTCTATCTGATTAAAGCAAATTATTTTTCAGCTGAATCAATGTTGCTCAATTTATTGTTTACAATCAATCAATCAATCAATCAATCAATCAATCAATCAATCAATCAATCAATCAATCAATCAATCAATCAATCAATCAATCAATCAATCAATCAATCAATCGTTTGTTTTTTAATCCTTTAGAGGACCGTGGAGGCCGATGACGTCCAATTTTTTTGTAGATTTCTGAATCACTTTCTTTTTGCACAATTTTTGGAATTCTCATTTCAATCCATTATATAATGTCGCACATCATTTCTTGGCAGGTTTTCAAACTTTTCTTTTTCAGTTTCTCTTCCTCATCAGTACAGATTTAATTAATCAATTACCCCGCATTCTCTAAATATAACCAAAAAGCCCCAATTTTTGTACTTTGAACATTTCAACATACTTCTTTTGTTTTCCAAACCGGCTCATAAATTTTTTCCCTTTCTGTCGTCAGCTGATACTCAACAATTTTTTGTAGCGCTCCACTTCAAATATTTCTAACTTGTCTCCCTCTCTTTTTCTATTGTTTATATATTTACCGAGGTGCCGAATCAAAAAATTTTGTTGCGTTTCACATACAAATTTAAGATAATTAATAATGTGATATAATGTATAAATCACAAACCTGCTTTTGTTCAATTTTTTTCTTCAGCATGACAACTCTGAATATTCTCAAGGACTTTGAACCATACCTAAATGGACCAATCAAACGAGCAACATTGAAACACAAATAGTTGTACAGTTGAGTTTTTTGTTAACAGTTCAACGACGCAATTCGGAAAATTGTAAAGTTTTCCTCATATCTCTTACAACAATGAATCATCATCAAAAAGTAATAAAAAAAAATAAATTATTTATTTAATTAATTTGGATTTATATTAACCGACGCTTCATTAATTTCAATTCTACTAAAGAAAACATGTACCTTTCTTGGATGACTGAAGTGACATGAGCCAGGCCCAACTCAGTGAACGCTTGTTGGAAATCTAAATAACAATTAATTTAACATTTAATCAAGATGAATGAAACTTTAGAACGAGACATTTTTAAAACTCTAACAAACAGTCAGTATTGATCTACTTGCGATACATTTCAATTTAAAAAAGTAATGTCAACAAACCTATTCTGTAGACGCCTCCTCCACTGTCTCCATCTTTCATCACAAATGAACTCTGAAGAAATTGAATTAAATAATAAGATATGATAAGATCAACAAACTAATAATAAGTTTTAAAAAACCGAACAAAGTTTAGCAAAATTTAACAGAATTCACTTTTATTACTTTTTGACGTTTAAACAGCCATCAGTTATTGTTGGATAATTTTAAAAGTTTAAAAAAGTAATAAATATCAATCTACGAAGATCTTGATTTTTTTAAAATGCTTCCCAATATTATTAGTCTACCACTCGTTTACATTCTTTTGAAGTTATGTATTTGTTTCATGTTTTCTCTTATTGTCATTTGATTTTCTCGTATTTATCTGTTTTTGATGAAATAACTTTGTTGAATTTTTTCTAAATTCAAGTAATTCATTATTAATTTCAAATTATTGTCGATTTGTTATTAACCTTCGTATTAATATTTATAGTGTTTTAACAATTTGTCTTTTAATAATGAATAAATAAACGTGAAGGAACGCATCGCCCGGATTGCTAGTCTCAGGCAGAGATCTGCAGTGGACTGCAGCAGTGGGACCATCACGCCATCTTATACATACATGCATGTCGCTTAATGCGTACTTGAGGATTGAGTTCTGCAGATTATTTCAATTTACGGAAGAATATAAGCACAGACCCCATACAAGTCCGTGCTTGCCTCCTTATACAGTTTTAACCTTGAATTTAACATTGAATTTAACTCGTACAACAGTACACAGTTGACCTTACCTTACAAGTCCGTGCTTGCCTCCTTATACAGTTTTAACCTTGAATTTAACATTGAATTTAACTCGTACAACAGTATACAGTTGATCTTACCCTGATTTTAATTTGTGCAATTTGTATTTGATCTGTTAATTTCTAAACTACCTTTGCACAGTTTTTAGGAATAAACTCTTATTAGGTTTTCAAAAATCAACTGTCTTGTTTTAATAAATGTGGTTGTAAACATTTTTATGAATTAAACCGGTTGTGAACAAATGAAAAAAATTGTTCATTACCATTAAAAATTCATTAGATAAATGTAGCAGAGAATTTTAATAGCATAGAATAGAAGTTGAACAGAACATTGTTGAATGAATGAAAAGTGATCTCACAGCATCTTCCAGCAGTATTTTCAGCATTTGGTCCAACTGCAACAACGTTAGCGATGTCATCTGCTTCTTCAAACAGCTGAATATCTGTCAAGCCATTCAAACCACACATTATATTATATCAAATCATAATACATTATATCACATATATATAATATTAATATTTTTCAGATTGTCTTCATTTACCAGCTTTCTTATTCCATCAAACTATCATGCACGTATCTGATTTTGGTGCCCAACATTTACGTGTTTATTTCTAAATATTACAATTAAAATTATATTTGGGAACAAAGTCAGAATGTGTTCATTATGTGTTAAATAAATGGGTTAAATAAAATGAATTGCTGAACGTTAAACTGGAACAGGAAAATTTTAATTTCTACATCGGTAGCACCTTTATTCAATTATACAAAAAAACTCGGAATAGCCACTTAATATACAACAGGGTAGACTCGGTTGTTGAATGAAGTTGGATTAGTAGTCACTAGTCAAAATTACTATTTATGCAATTTAATTGATTATTTAATTTAAAAATAACATTTCATTTGATGAACTCATTTAAGCGAAACAACCTCATTGCAAGTAACTCCAAATGTTCTGAATCTGTTGGCGACGTTTTTCTGCAGTTGGGATAGTTCTGAAAGTCTTAAGATGGCTTTCACAATGTCAGCAGATCTCTGTAATTATTTTATTTATCGCATCCAACAACTTGGTAACTAATTGCTGGTAGACACAACAACTGAATAATGAACTAAATACATTACAACTGAGTAATGAACTTATTATCTAATGAAATCATCACAGTCTACACGACGAGAGGGTCTGACGATGCACCCAGCAAAGGTGCGCCGACCAGCAACCAATGAGACGTCCATGTTGCTGACCCTGAAGCCACTAAATTATTCTTCCAAACCTGCATCCCCAACAAGCCTAACTGATCTAATTTTCCTCTTTCTCTATTAACATTGAACTAATCACAACCATTAACATTAGAGGTGGAATTTTTCTATAGATTATCGTTATAGTATAATTCTTGTGTTGATCATCACGATCTATATTACAACTTTCATGTATATTTTCAAAGACAACCAATGAGCAAATCAAAACATGCACGCGTGCGATGAAACTGACCCGATCAATTTTCATGGCCATCGTTTCAATGATGATCTGGTTCCTGAGGAGCTCGTTGAATTTACTGCTGTTCAACTTCCACAAGCCCTGGCAAAATAAGGAAAGGCATTCAGGTTCGAGAACTGTTATAATTATCAATCATTCATAAAATTATATAATTGTTTTCATACAGAATGATCAGCCGTTCAACCTTGAAGTGTTCAGACCGTTGTGGTTACATGAAAATATTTCAAAAACTTTATTAATCTCTCCGAAAGATCTAACTGAAAACATTTCAAGAACAATAATGAATTAAGGATAAAAAGACGGGCCAGTGAAAAAAAAAGAGAAGTTAATACAAAAATTAACGAAGAGATGGTGGAAGGTATGTGAAAAGATAACAAAAATGTTGAAGAAATAACCTTTGAAATAACTTATATACGCACAAAATGTGACAATTAATTTTAGCCACATTAGTGTAAAGTTAAAAATAGCAATGTTCATTTCCAACTAAATTACTAAGGCAACAATTTTAAAACAATTATATCAATATAATTTGGAGCTTTGCTTATTGATGACACGTGCTTATAAAATGTTTGAATATTATATAACAAACAAGTGGACAAACAAACCTCAGATTTAAACTTCTTGGAGGCAGGTTCCACATTCTTGTCGTCTGCCTCTTCGTCACTATCCACCACATTCTTCCTCTTTCGGGCTTTCATTCCTGTTGCACCGTTGTTGTTTGTGGTGGTACATGACTTGTGAGGTGTGCTGTTGGTTTGCTGCAGTTCGGAGCTATCCAGGAGAGGACACTGAACAATCAACGAGTCACCTTTCATCTGGTTCCATTTCTCTTGAAGCGTTTCTCTGCCTGGTAACATTCATTCAAAACTATTTTTTACCCATCTAATTGTTTCAAGATAGATGAAGCAAATTTTAGAATTCCGTTAACGTTTCAACTGATTTGAAAACAAAATAAATTTTCCAGTAACAGATGCACATCAGCATTATTTGAAGAGTTCCCATCAACGATTGTCTATGTGAATTTTAATTTTTTCTATTTATTGTCATTACAAGAACCATTCTTGAAAAACTCAATCAAAATTGTTCACTCTACCTGTTCATCTGCTATTGTTTGCATTGCATCGCACAATTTTCCTATCAATTTAATTCTGCAACCCCTCACAAAATATTGAATAAAAGTAAAAAATGTTGAAAGCGAACTCACTTGCACCAGTCTGACTGGATAGAGAGGTTATAACATCACATGGATCCACCTGCCACATCATCATTAATTATGATTCGTTCGTTATCAACCATTTATTGAACTACCATTCATTATTATTGTTCACACATATTTGCCATGCAATGATGAAAAAGTAGGCTATAGTTCAATGAATGAATGAATGAACAAATGAATGAATAAATGATAAATGAATGAACGAGAAGCAAATAGCATCACCTTTCCATGCCTGGATATCTCTTCAACGATCATCTTGCTTTCATCCCCATACAAACATTTAACCATGTACATGAACCTGATGAAATTCATCAAATTTACGTTATACTTCAAACGAATGAAATAAAAAAACAATAACATCTAAGGTACATTTGCATCAGAAATTAATAAAAAAAATTTTACGCCAGAATTTTACAAAACATCAATGAAATAACCATTTGCCATTTTGGCTCTATGGGATTGAAAACCGACAGCAACGTGATATAATAACTTAAGAATTATATTTGTGGCTAGGTGCAAAACATCTGACAATTACATGGCACGACCAAATGTATGGTTAATATTAAATATCAAAAATATTACTAAAAATATAAAATTTTTACATGTAACAATAAAATTTGGAGGAAGACTTTTGTTTATCAATTTTTGTACTGTAATAGGATTGTACAACTTTGCATGACCAGATATCCTTTTGTACCTAGCAAAAAATAAAAAAATATGCAACGCTCTAAACATAACATGAGAAATTGCATCAAACCACTTTTATTCATTTTTTAATGTAGCTAATATACGGTGGCAAGATATGCAAATTGAACGTTTGCCCTTATTAGTCTGAGCAGTATTTATTACTGTTGTTCTATTACTACTATCCCTCCCAGTTTTAGCGGCTGGGATTACAATACTTCTCACAGACCGTAATCTAAACACAGCCTTTTTGACCCTATTGGAAGTGGGGGTCGACAGCTATACCAACGTTTATTTTGATTTTTGGTCACTCAGAAGTTTACATTTTAATCTTCCCACTTTTGAGGCCATCTCACATGTGGTAGCCCATAACTCTAGAAAAATTGAGTCATTTGGTTCACTTGGTATAACCTATGCTATATTAAAGGTTTCTCTCTCTCTCTTTTGCGTTTGCTTCAGAGGTTTCAACGACAAACACACACAGCGTATATGAATACGCGTGCAAACTACGCATCATACACATTGCATATGATAGGCGGGCATCTCTTTGTATTCGAACCCGGTCATAGCAATAGCAAGACCAGGCGCCTTTAACCATTGAGCCATCACGCCATTAGGTATCGTAATCCTAGGATTTATTATATGGGCTCACCACATACTTACTGTGGGAATAGATGTTGATGATGCACGAGCATACTTTCCTGAACAACTATGATAATTGTCAGGAATCCAAGTATTTAGATGATTAGCTACTACACGGTTTTAAAAGTAGGTTCTAAGAAAACTAGGCTTACCATCCTTAACGTACGGAATAAAAAAATCCGATCTTATTCAAGTTTATAAGATTACCCATGAACTGTTGCCAGCATCGATAATGCCCTCCATTGACATATGCTCCATTCGGTAAAACAAGGGATCACTCACTCAAGTTAGCTACTGGATTGGCCCATAAAGATTGCAGAAAGTTTTTCTTCCCAAACAGAGTAGTTAACAATTGAAATAGCCAGCCGTCGTCTGTTGTTCAGGCTCAAAGTGTTGAACGGTTCAAAACCATGTTGGACAATTTGTATGGTGATAGAAAATAATTATAGCATTTCTTGTAATTTTTTAAATTTATTTCGTTCTGTATTCATTGTGTCTATATATGTGTATGTGTGTGTGGATGTATGCATCTTTTACACTTGTTTTATTGACTGTGTTTCTTGATCATTTGCATATTAAACATTGTGTACTGATTGTTTTATTCACCTATCTCACTCATCTAAATTTCATTGTATTATTAATCAACATACTTTTCTTGCACATTGAGGTAAATATAGGTAATATAGAAACTAAAACTTAGCATGTGTACGAAAAAATATATCTTGCCTTGCATACTTAACTTTTCATGACCAGATATTGAGGTCAGAACCATCCATTAATCACGTCACTAAATTTTAAGATTAGGGAATGAAATTATAGAGGAAAATTTACTTGAAGTGCCTGGTCTTTTGCAGAATATAGTTCAGGTTGATTTTGTAGACAGTGAGTCCACTCTGTGTCACAGTGACATCAACAAAATTGTGTTGTATCAAAACCCACAACGACTTTTTCAACTAACAATATTTTTCATGAAATATTTATGATCAATATGGCTCAAAAACAATTGCAACATAATCATGAAAATTTATCTGATTTATGATTTAGAAAGCGGCACCGCTCAGAGAGAAGATTACAATGAATCATCTGACAATCAATGCAAATCATTTTTCAAATGAAAAATCTGTTTGCAATATTGACTCATGGTTCATGAAATGCTCATCACAGCAGGGCTCCTATTAAACATATAAAATGACCTGCTATGGGTTAATGTTTGCAATGACAAGATTATTATCAACAAACTAATACCATTTACAATTTCTAGTATTAACAATTACTTATAACATTTAATGTAATAATAATCACATTTAAAATCCAATGTATTAATAAGTGCATTTAAAATTTTTGGTAATAAAAATAATTACATTTAAAATTCCACAACGGGAAATACAAAAGAAGCAGAGGCTGTTGTGATTGTGATTATTAAAAAAACACCTAAACTTGACATTTTAACGTACAACAACAGTTGATAAATGATCTATCACAGTTATAACAACATTATCATAATGAATAATTTAGAGGGCCTACCCAGGTGCTTCGCCTGTTCACATTATCATTTTCATTTACAGAGAATATTTTAAAAAATATAACTGAAAGAATGATGAAAAAAAACATACCATTTTTTCTGGGAAACCTCCTTTTGAGCAAAGGCACCTGAACACAGAGGAACCATTTCGAGCCAAGAACTGAGCAACCCTTGCCACCTCAGGACCAAAATAATCTTTCGTTATAGCAGCACAAAAATCAACTTGATTCTTCGACATTATAACATAAGGTACCTTCTATTATAATATAATTTGTCTTTATCCTCACTTGAATATTTTATTAATCTCTTCTCCTGAACCTGATATAAATGAATATTTAAATATTACAAGAATATATAACATCATGTAAGCAGCTCTGTGTTTGACAGAGTTGCACAATAAAGAATAAAAAATTAAGCTCAGTAGAAAAGTAAAAAACCAATGAGAATAGTTACAACATACTACGCACGTCCTACCTCGGGAAACCGGGTCTCTGGACGCAAAACGAAGATTGATTGATTGACGCACAGAACACATAGTACTAGTGATGTTCCAATGCACAGTATCGCTTGGTAATTATAAGTACCGGTACAGTGCCATTAAAAATTTCAAAATAGTTTCTACATTTTTAGTAACTGGGTTCCAGCTCAAAATTTGGAGTCAGAATCAAAGAGCTATAGTTCTAAAATGGTTCTAAACATTACTTTACATTTATACTCCTTCAATTATTTAGTCATTTACAGTTTTTGATAGCATTGCTCAATCCCCAATCGAAAATTACAAACTTCATATAGCAAAATCAACTGCGTCCATTGAATCATAATACACAACATAACAAAATTCATTATTATATGGTGGTACTTGTCGGATGTTCTACATGTGCAAATAAAATAAACTTGGTCCCAAAACTATTTTTAATCAAAAAACATTACATCTTTACCTTAATAATTAATAATTGAAGATTTGTAACTGACATAAAATTGAGTAAAATTAACTAAAAATACTTTGCAGAATTATAATTCGTTATTACCAAAAAGAAAAAGTAACTTCTAATCTAATTCCAAAGCAGTAGTTCCAATTGCCGGTAGAGTACTAAATAAAGTTTTTCAAGTTTCAATTTAAGCAAGCCAAGACCAAGAGGGTTCAGATCCAAGTGAGGTACAGGATAAAGGCACAGAACCATATTTTAATTTAAAGAAAATAAAAAATGCAGGCACCTAGTATAGTCTACATAGTCATATATACGTACAAGTGCAACACTACACTAACACCACAGAATACACCGACATACACACAAATGCAACTAGCCAACTTCTCTATTATGAGTATGAAGTTTAGTTTAAGCTTAGTTGTACTTTGTTTGAATGAAAAGACAGAAGATCAAAATCAAAGGAGAAAGCAATGGAAAAGTAGGGAATGAAAAACCCTGAAAAACGAAAGGGGATAAAAACGAAATCAAGAAAAACAAAAATAATAATAATAATATACAGTAATACTCCTCCTTAACGACTTCCCCATTTATGACTCTCTCATTTCCGACCATTTTGTTTAAGACAGATTGTTTTTACATTAAGCATCACTCCCGATCTACAACTCCCTCCAAAACCCAATCAACGACCTTAAAAAACACAAAAAAATTATTATTCAAATATAAAATTTACAACTTTTGTAAAATTTACAATTTTAAGTATACACATTCAAAACATGTCATCCCAATTTATAAACAAAACAACTTCTAGATTATTTTTATATATATGCAAATCGCTTCATGTTTTATTTGATTTTGTGAATTAAACTTTAATTTGATAAAATGACGACGACTTTGAATTCCAAGAAAAGAAAATGAAAAATATTAGCATTAGAAAAAGGAATAGAAGTGATAAAGAAGGAGTGACAGCAGAGAAACTGCAATCTCAATTGCAAAACCATTAAATTAAAATGTGGGTAAAACAAAAATTCAGGGAATTGTACAGGACAAGGCTGCACTTCATGAAAGTTGGGAAGATAATGCAGAATGAAAGCATCCTAAAGCTAACAAAGAAAATGTGTTTAAGTGACTTGAACGAAATGATGTGGAAGTGGTTTTGCAATAGTCGACGTTGAAATTTGCCTATCAGTGGTTGCATAATGATAATAATCCAAGAGAAGACACACCATATTGAGTCTGTGGTTCTTGGGCACAATAAATTTTTACCACTGTATGTGTACCTTTTTTTATTTTGTTGTAAATAGGCTTTTTCTTTATTACGTTTTACCAAAAACCCCTCCTTTTAAGACCTGATTTCTATGACATTTTTAAAGTCCTTAATAGGCAGTACCACTGTAAATGTGATGAACTGTACAATAATGAATAATATAACATTTTTAATTTTTTGCAACATTGGCACTAACCAAATCAATTATCACGTGCGCCGCTAAACAAACATCAATAAACAAAATAACACTAAATATCACTAAACATTTAAATAAAAGTTCTAAATAAATAAAACTAGGAAGAAAACACTAAGCAAGCGATATTAAACACGTTTAAACGTACAAAATAAAACAACTTTACCAAAGACAAAAAAGCTGTTACGCACATGCAAATTTATTGCAAATTACTATGTCTATGCAGTCAGAAGTTCGTTGAATTTTGTCGTCGAGAGTTCATGGATTGCTAAAGGTGTATAAAGTATATAATTGCAAAAATTGTTAAGAGAGTTGAACTTTACTAGAGTAATTGAGCTGAATCATCTACTAATAAGCGTTTTTACTTTTTATCATTATATTCTTCATTTATCTGATCTGCAATTTTTAGTTGTTTGGAACTGGCGTACCTAATTTTGACGGAGAAGCGCCAAAATTTGACGGGGCGGCAAAAACTTGAAAACCTGACAGCGACGTTCCTTATCACACAATTTTGAGTCAATTTTCTATTTAAAACGTTGTTTTCATATCTAAAAAAACTGCATGTAATGCATTAAAAGTAATTGAACAATGTAGGTATGTTGGTTACATTTTCAAACAATTACAATAAAATGGTTGTTGACTGTCTGACGTAGTGATGTAATTGCTTACAGGTCAACTTTCAGATCGAAGGCCTCACTTTATTTGCTATGTGTAATTCAATGTTCAACTCATTCGAAACTATAAATAATAATTTAAATATATGGGACAACCTATAAAAAAATTCAACTTTAGCTAGGATTCAGCCGACTCACATGTTATAATTTGTATTTAAAATATGATAAAAACAATATTTGCAAGTTATTTTAAAGTATTTTTTTAAATCAATTAAATCAAAAATAGCAGTTTTTCCATCTTAAACATCAATACATATATATAGAGTACATACATATACATGTTATATTCTATATATATGACATCAATAATATCGGTAGCACTAACGTAATAGCCAAACTTCTTTAAGAATTGCTTAGCTCATCTTCAGATTCATCACCTCAAATGTATTGCTATAACCGCTGCAATAGTCAAATCGCGCTATATTATTTGTTATCTTGATTATTCGTTATCTTCGGTATATTTGTAATCTTTGGATTTTAAGAATCTAGCAAAGGTTTCAAGCGAGATTTACGTGATTTATGTAGTTACTTAGATTAGTTTATTGTTTCTATTACTGTTGGCAACAAACGCAACAAAGTTTGCCTCTGACTCAATTGTGTTCATCTAGCGGAAATCATGAACCGACGGAATAACGATAACTGGACGATCGTTGGAAGCTACAACACTGGTGTTGGAAATATAGAGATCATTGAAGTTAAAACATCGGTGTTGGTAGTAAAGTGTGTTAAAGATTGCAACCGTTTAAATTGCTGTTCTTACCACCATAAGAACACTCAGCACATCTCAATCACAACCACACCATACCACATCAACTCATCCTTACTTCGGGTTAATCAATGTCTGCTAATTTCAAAAACATTAAGATATAATTAACATAATCACATAAATAAGATGGTCTAAGTGATTCAACGGCAACTCTTAAATAATTTTTGGAGGAAACCAAAATATAAGAAAAAATTTTCTGAAAAGTTTTTAAATTTTACTATTTTATTTTAATTTTAAATTTTGAGGACGGTTTTTGAACAATATCCGCAAACCACAAAAACCGCGGAGTTTTAAATCTCAGCTGCCAAATTATTCCCAATAATCGGGCTCAAAATTTTTTTAAGAAGTATCTTCTTGCTTTGATGCAATTAATTCACAGTAAATTAGATTTCACATGAAAGTTTAAAACGAACTCGTAGAAGATTTCTTCATTTGTTTATCACCCATTCACTTATCAACAACATTTTCAACATTGAAATGAAAATCGTTAGTTTCACGTGCACACTCAATAAAAAGCATTAAAACGAATTATTCTAATTAAAAAATTGATACAATAAAATTAAACATTGTCATCAAATGTTCACCATATAGAAATGCAGAAATAAAACTAATGTACATTTGTTTTGCAAGCTGGAGCTTGAAAGAATTGGGAACTTGCAGACGCACGGTGTGCGATTAAAAATCGTTTCGCGCTTAAGAAAGTTATAGATGAATTATTAATAAAACACAGAGGGTTTCTTTAAAACTTGATGATTATTTCACTAACGATGAACTTGGTGACTATTGAAATGTGGGCGTTAGGTAGAATCCAACGGTTTGGTTTTTCAACTTTTAGTTTGGTTTAGAAAACTAACATTTAAAATATTAACAACTTAATAATAATAATGGAAATGAAAAATTATTATGACCATCATGACGAGAGTGCAATCACGGAAACGCAACAGCAGCGGCAGTAAAAAGATTCAGAGGACGGCAAGAGTGGAGAGGAAAGATGATGGATCGTCAGGAGCCAGCATGTGGCTGCCTTGGAAGAAGGGTTCATTCGTGATCTTCATGTTAGTTTTATGAACGTAATCGCTGTACATTCTGTTGCTGTTCATGTGGATTTGTTTAACAAACTCTTTGTATCTTCTGTATTTTTCCTTGCTCACGCGCCACCTCGTATCACGATCCGAAACAACGTTGTTGTTGGGGTTGTTTTTGTTGTTGCTGCTGTTGTTTTTGTTGTTGCAACTGCTTATAATATTTTCTCTCCTCTGATTAGTGTTCTTCACGCTGTCGTTCGTTCCACTGTTGAAATTTCCAATTCGAGGGTCAACCAGCTGATGACAGCCTTTATTTTTAACACTTTTTTGTTGATTAATGTTGTTGTCGTTGCAATAAATGATGTTGTTGTTGATGTTCCTAACGTTGACGATGTTGATGCATTTTCTGGAACCGTTGGTTGGGTACTGAGCGCGTTTCAAGTTGTTGGTGAGAGTATTTTGAATAATGTTGTAATTATTGATGTTATCAATTTTTATGAATATTTTCCCACAATCATCTGGCTTGCAGTTGCGACGAAATTCATCAACATTTTTCGCACGCTTCTCAAATCCTGGTGGATGATGTCGAAGTCGAGCTTCTTCTCGTAGTCTTGAGATTTTGTTCAGACAATCCGACGGTTCATTGCAGGTTTTGTTGACTTGGTTTTTCTTGGATGTTTGAAATGTTGATCCGTTCACGTACGAAATCTCGGTCATTGTTGTCAACGTTGATTCATAGGCTTGCCGCTTTCTCGCCAAAAACTTTTTGAAACTGTTGCAATGTTTACGAAGTAACAATCGCTGTTGTTGCTGCTGTTGCTGCTGCTGCTGTCGGTGCTTTCGAAGCAGCTGAAACTCTTTTTGATGTTGCATCGATGGTCGCTTCAAGCGTTTAAAATTGTTGGCTGTTTCTGCGGCTTCGAGGCTGCTTTGTTTCCTGGCTGCATCCTTGTTGTTGTTGTTGTTGCTGCTGCTGTCCATTCCATCTGCATCGCTGTTGTTTCTCTTCTTGCTGATGTTTTTATGAACACTACTGCATGGCGTGACTATGAAGAGACTGTTGTTTGGGGTGTTGTTTTTGATGTAGTTGTTGTTAATTGTGTTGTTGTTAATTGTATTGATGTTATTGTTTGTGCTGTTATTTGTGATGTGATTGTTAATTATGTTGTTGTTGTTGGAGTTGTTTTTGTTTGTGTCGTCGTTGTTGTTGTTTGTGATGTCCTTGTGGTATGCAGTTTGAATGTTGATATTTTCGTCCTCAGTGCTTTTTACATTGAAGATGCTGATGCGATTGCAGCCGATGTTGTGCTTATTGTTGGCGATGGGGATAACATTAGGTTCGTGTTTCATTTCAGAAGTGCTCGTTCCATCTCTTTGTGATAATGCCAACATTTGTGACGATGTGACTGATGACGACGATGACGACGTGGCTACTGCTGATAATGATGATGGAGTTGTTGATGATGATGGTAATGATGATGATGGAGTTAATGGTGATGGAGGTGGTGGGGTTGATGATGATGGTAGTGGGGTTGATGTTGATGATGATGTAGTTGATGATGATGAGGTTGAGGATGCTGATGACGATGGGGCTGACAATGATGGTGTAGTCGATGGTGACGTGGCTAGTGATGATATTGCTGGTAATGATGTTGCTGCGAATGACGTCTTTTTTCTCAAATATTTTTTCTCAGTAATGTAACAAGGAGTTTGAAGTTGCGCTGTTGGGGGGAGTGTTGATGCCGAGAGGTCCCTGGATGCTGGCAGCGTATCTACTCCGGTTGCTGTGTTTGTGAGGGAAGATGACGACGATGGATGTTGTGGTGATGTTGATGCAAGTTTTGTTGGTTCTGTCGGTCTTGGTGACAACGTTGGAGTTTGTTCAACAAATGCTGAGGAAGAAGGCGATGAAGGCGACGTGCCGCTGAATGATGGCAGATTGAGAGTGCTATGCAGAGGGTAGCTGAAGGTACTGTTGAAATGGTCGATGCAGAAAACATTCAACGCTGATGCCTGCTCGTGAATGACGTCACTGTGGCCAACAATGTTGCTGATGTTCAAATGTTGTTGCGGAGTTGTTGCGTGGCTGGTCAGCGGTGTAGCGTGTCGTCGTCGTTGATGCTGCTCGGTGGATGTTGTGTTGTCGTAATTGCGACTGGTCAACTCAACGGAGCTTCCCCTCCAAACTGATGTTGTTTCTGAGTGAGCGGCACTGAGGTCGTTTTTATTATTGTTGTTGTTGATGTTGTTGTTGTTGATGTTTCTATTGTTGTCATTGCTACTCTTGATATTTGTGTTGCTGTTGTTGTTGCTGTTGTTGTTGCTGTTGTTGTTGCTGTTGTTGTTGACTTTTATGTTGTTGTTGTTGACGTTGTTAGTGGCGTCGGTCTCGTTTGTGTTTTGGTAGCTGAGGCTGTTGCTAAAATTGTTGGAAATGTCTTCAAAGAACCGGAATGGCGCAACTTTGTTGATCCGCACCTCCAACTGAGGCACCTCTGACAAATTCAAGCTGTCCGTTTGTCTGGATGTTTTTGTGAGTGTCGTCCCTACATGAGAATGTCTATTGTTGTTTTCATTGTTTGATGTCGTCGCTAGAGAGCGAAAAGCCGCTGATACTGGTGCTTTCGTTGCAAAAAGTTTATTGAAAATGTTGTTGTTAATTGGGGAGAGCGTTTTCAACTGCTGATCACCGTTGTTGCTTGAGTTGAAAAGTTTGAATTTTTTGCGTGATGTGCACTTGCTGACGATCGCCTGAGCCGATGGAGATCTGTTCTCCTTCAATCCGTCGTCATCCACCCTGGCGGCTGGCCGGCGTGTCGGGAAGAGACAGCCTCCTCTGTACATTGTTGCTGCTGCTGCTGCTGTTGGCCTGCGTTCATCCAGTTTAAACGTATACTTATAACAATTTATACTGTTATACAAAAATAACATATACACTATACATCATACCATATATATATATATATATATATATATATATATATATATATATATATATATATATATATATATATATGTATGTATATATTATTTGTGCAATAATCACATTTGCATTTCGTTATTTTATTTTTGTAATGTGAAACGTTCCTTTACAAGACCTCCAATTTTATAAATATACACAAGTAAATAAAAGGTGCACGGTTGGTTACGATATGGAAATGGAGATCATGGGTGGAGAGTTGTTTGCATGGAAAGAGGTCCTTAATGACGTGTTAGGATTATATTTCATTAAACAATGCAATCAGCGTGCACATTTTGCTCGGTCGCCGGTCCGATGCATTACTGTGGACCGTTACAGGGAATGTATGGAGTGGATGTGTATAATGTATACAGGCGTGTGTGTGTGTCGTGTGAGTGTTTGCCGTGTGAGTGTGTACTTATAAGGTGTGAAGGGTAATGATTTTATTTAAATTAGAGGAAAGGAACGTTATGCAGATTAGCAGGTGATGTGATACAAAATGAAGCACTGCATAGCAGCACTCCAGTAACATATGAAGGGCAAATAAACGTTTTGAAGAAAAGAATGGACAAAATGAATGAATGAATGAGTGAATGAATGAATAAATGAATGAATGAATGGCGAATACAAAAACAAATAAATGGTTTAATTAACAGATAAATGAACGAATAAACGAGTGAGCGAAAGAATGAATGAATGAACGATACGTCTAAATGAACAGAGCCAGGCATATCTCCGCTGATCGAGTGGCAACTCAATTGTTCCTTCTCTCTCACCGACTTCTTTTTCACAATACTTCAACGCTGATGGTCAGTCAATGCCAATGAATGCAAAATGCATGCACGAGTATATAAATTTATTAAAAGTTTACATTCATATTCTTTATATAATTATGTTTATATTTATATGTATATAATTATATATGCACAATATACAATATACGTATATGGTGTATATATATATATATATATATATATATATGTGTGTGTGTGTGTGTGTGTGTATTTTAATTCACATACACACACACAAACACACACACACATGTGGGAGACGACGTGTCGGAGCACGCAGGTGAATGTTCTTCACGTGCGACTTGAAGACAGGCGCATCACGTGACGAACGATATGATTTCCTCCATTCATTCTTTTATCATTTTCAGGCGCTTCATATTCATTCATTTTTGTATTTGTTTACTTAATTAAGCATTTTCTTCCTTTCTTCATTTATTCATTCATTCATTCATTCACCGATTTATAAATTCACACAATTGGTTTGGGCATCCACCGCTCACACACGCAAGCATGAATGCAGACAGGATGACAAATGGATGGATGGATGGATATCTATGCAAAAATCGTGTGAACGTTCCCATGCATAAAATCTTATATATTATACTTGTAAACACACACACACGCACACACACACATTTTGCCCACACGTACATTTTTTCACGCACGGCCACACTTTCTTTGGATTTCCACTGAGATTGAACCGTTGATAACATAGTGTGAATGTGTGTGCGTTGGTGTGCGTGTGTTCATATGTATGGGTGTGTGTTTGTTTGTGTCTGCGTGTACACGTTCATGTTTACATACGCTTTTATATCCGTGCTTCGGTATGTTTGTATCTACTATGAATCTGCAAACAAACAAACATACATATACATACATATACATACATACATATACATATATATATATATATATACACACACAAATATACATACAATTACAGTTACATATATTCATGTGCCAAGTAATTAATGACAGCACGTTGAGAAATGTAGGAACATTAATAAATATTTCATAACTGCAATGAATGCGGTTGTGAGATTTCAAAGCATTAAGCTTTCTCACAGCACAACACAATAATTGTAACACTGTAAAACAAGTAACAACAACAAAACGTAATGTAGCAATGCGATGTAGTTGCACAAATCAACAATATAAGCTAACGTTACATTACAATGTGCAACACAGACCTCCAATCATCAATCATACATACAAACAAACGAACATATATACATACAAGCATACATAAACACATACATACAAACAAACATACATACGTACAAACAAACAAACAAACATACAAACATACATACATACATACATACATACATACATACATACATACATACATACATACATACATACATACATACACACATACATACAAATATCGAAACAACAACAGCAACAACAACCTCATCATCGTCGTCATCAACAACATGATAAAGATAACAAGCAGAAACATTTGTACAATGGAATTCGCAGCACAGTTAATAATTTAATGCAACAACATTATAGCAACAGCATCATCGTACAACGTAAGAATAAAACAACAACAAACTACTACTACTACTACAACAACTACTACTACTACTACTACAACTACTACTACTACAACAACTACTACTACTACTACAAGACTCATCAAGACAATTCTAATCTAATCAGCCGGCTCATTTGAAACAGCGTGCATAATTATGCGGACAATTAGGAAGATAAGTTGAGATATTTTTAATTAATATGACGTCATTTTCGTTTGTCCACTTTTGTATAAGATTAAATTTAATGTAATTTCTATAATTGTTATTTCGCAGTTAATTAGAAGCCAAAAAATTGATTTTTCTAAAGTAATAATACACCTGCTTGCAATTGCCAATCGCATCTACCGACCTACCTATCAACCACCCTATTAAGCCTACCTAGCAACCAACCTACCAACCAACCTACCAACCAACCAACAAGCCAGCCAGCCTGCTAACCAACCAGCCAGCCAGCCAGCCAGCCAACCGACCAACCAACAAGCCAGCCAGCCTGCCAACCAACCAGCCAGCCAGCCTGCCAACCAACCAGCCAGCCAGCCAGCCAACCAACCAATCAACTAACCAACCAGCTAACATTAGCAAGGTCCTCAACTATCTTACACATTATAGTATGTGATTATTAACAATAATATAGCCACATTGATGTGATTTAAAAAAATTAATCAAGCGCCATGTCGGCCGCAGCTCCAATCTGTCGGCGCTTGCTTCGGTCAACTTCAACCACAACCACATTCCTCGCCAGTATCAGTGCGCTTAATAACAATAACAGCAATAACAACAAAAACAACAATAATGACAT